GTAAATGTGCACACCCTGGCCTCTGTCTTAGTCACCCAGTGTCCTCTGCACTACCCCAACTGGGATTGCAAGGTATGCCACCAAACGATATCGGACATGAAATGTTGTTTACCAACTACCTAGCCACCTATGTACCCACTAACCAATTATTTTTTGTCGTCGCTTGCCTTGAACCTCATCGTGCAAAGGCAAGTGCGGGCAACCTGCGGAATAGAACAAGTAAACACGTGAGCCCAATACATAATGGGAAGACGAAGTCTTACGACATAATGGCATCTATTACCTATCGTTCCATGCGCCTACTTACATAATGACGAAAAGGGTCTGTCTGTACTGATCAATTCTACTTAATGTTATGGACTGGTTTTGCCAGAGTGTCTCTTACTTTGTGATAATGCTTATGCCCTTTTGTATAAGCATGTAATAACAAATGTTTTTAAATGAATGCATAGTTTGACGCTAAATGGTGTGAAGTCCAACGCTAATAGTTCTCAATATAGTTCAATGTAACTATTTTTGTTTGCTGTACATAACCCTATACGGAACAAAAATAACAGTATGACGTTACGTCTGCGAAAATTCCCAGATTCGCGGTATTTGTTAGATTGGCGAACCGTTTATGCTACCCGTTTTGAGCTGTTTGTTTATCTGTCATGGAACTTCGTACTAAGCTAGCTTTATGTCAACCAGAAAGATAACGACGAATGTAAAGAGTTCTCACCATTGTTTTTGCCCGGCGCGCTTGCATGTGTTGTATGTAGCATGCTGGAATTCGCCAGCGGGTATCATTCGCATAGGACGCCTTCATACAAAATCCCTTATCACCGTCGTACCTTACCGTTGGAACGTTCACACCGGCCGCCTGTTGTTTTTATTCCGCTTTCTAGTGGGAAACCACGCTGACCGCAGTGACGACGGCGCGTTAGACGCCACACGCACGGGCGACCATTGGACACACTCTGCTATACGGAATTAGAAGCTGGTTCTTCAGACCCAGCATACTCCTTTTGACAGCGCTGCATTGCACATTCCTTACGGGCCACCGTTTATTCGCAGTGCTCTCTCATAATATTACGTCTCGTAGCTCACTCACCAACGTATATGCTTGTTTTTATTCGGTAGTCGTCATCCTATGCCTGTTAATCTGTTCAATCAGTCTCAGGCACAGTATTATCTTTTTGTTCTTCATTTCTTTAGTCCAGCCTTCCACCAATTTTGCAATTTTTCACTGTCCCGTAACACATCATCCATGTCTCTGCTCATTGCTGTCCATTGTCCAACAATGTCCATGAATAACTATGCACTCACCGTCATTCAACAGCCCAATAACCCCTGACTGCAGTGACTGTGTCACCTCTAGCCCTCGTCTGTGCACTGTATCCAGCCGAGCCCTCGACTCAGTCCTCTTACAGAACCCGCTGGGTGTCCCCGCTGCACCCCGGACCAGTGCTGCGTAGGTATGAAGCCGCCTGGTGTCCTCGCTGCACCCCGGACCGGTGCGGCGGGTGCGGCAGAAGCGGCACCCGCCGGGTGCCCTCGCTGCACCCCGGACCGGTGCGGCGGGCGCGGCGGAGGTGTGTTGGTTTAGCGGGCGGGGCGGCGGCCTGTGACGCTCCCCGTCTGTGTCCAGCCGTCCCTCTCCAGCGTCCGTCGCCCGCCGTCCAGCGGCACACATTCCGCCGGCCGGCGGCGCGCACCGCCGAAACTGAAAGTGGTGCCGCGCGCCGCGAGATGAGGGCGCGAGCAGGGCAGAGGAGCGGCGCGGGACGTGTGCGCCGCCCCTCTGCCGCGCGTCTGTGCTCGGTGCTTGGTCAGCACCGCAGGCTGATCAGCAGCAGCAGCAGCAGCAGCAGCAGCAGCAGCCGGTCACAGAGACTCAGCAGCAGCAGCCGGCTGCAGGATCGGACTGCAGTCCCAGCCCAGCTGTGGACGGTCTGCAAGGAGCCTGGCATGACAGGTCTGCCACGGGCCAGGGTTTCGGTATAGTCCGACCCCAGCGACCCGCCACCGAGAAGCCCTCACCTCAATCATGGTCTTGGTCGTCCTAAGTCAGCGAGGAGAGGCTGCACTTGGAGCCGTATTCAAGAAAGAAGAACGCCATGGCTGGTGAGTACAGCCTTTTTCTGTCTTTTTGTCTGTTTGATGCGGAAAACCATTGCACGAATGTGATGAATGCCTGTTTACGAATGAATCCCACTTCAGCCCTTAATCTCACAGTTACCGTAATCATCAAACGAAAATGTATAATGTTTGTGTTTTCTTTCTCTCCCTCCCTCCCTCCCTCCCTCCCTCCCTCCCTCCCTCCCTCTCTCTCTCTCTCTCTCTCTCTCTCTCTCTCTCTCTCTCTCTCTCTCTCTCCCTCTCTCCTCCGTCCGTCGCCCAGGTGATCAGGTGGTCTCCTCACTGTAGTCGGGTCCGGGAGGGAGGCGGGCTGCGTGTCCCGGCCGGTATGCGGTTTTTGCAGCTCCTCCTCACCGCTCCTGGCCTCCGGGTCGGTGTTTAACCGGCGCGGAGCACACCCGGCTCCGGCTCCGGCTCCGCTGGTGTCCGGACGTGCCGTCGTCTGCGGTCGGGTGGCAGATTCCTGGCCGATTCACCTCTCCCGTGGTACGCGGCGGTGACGATCGGTCAACTGAGTCGTGTCCGGACATTGATCGGGATCAGGCGGTCACGGACTCTCCCGACTGTCCCGTCTCCCTGCAGACCGCTGTGACCCGGTGCAGACGGCGCGAGGTCACTGCAGACCCGGTGACCCAGAGGTCACTCCGGCGCCGCTCCGGATATTGGCGCGGATGCCGCGGGGACGGCCGGAATGTCGCCGGCTCGCCGCCTCCGGCCGGCCCCGGGCCGCCGCTGATGGATAGTCAGCTGATAGACCCGCGACTCCCACACGATCGTCAGATGCTCATCATGGCGTGGTTTTTACCCCACGCGCTTTGTTTTTATAGCGCTGATTCACACTAAAGACGGAATACCAATCAGCGCCAGGTATTCGGCCGGTGCGGACCGTGTGTCGATGTGTGACGGTGCGTTACCTCACAGCTGGGTCCGCGCCGGGCGGTGCGGCACGCCTCAGATTCCGGTGCCATTCTGGGTTAGCGGAGGTCCGTTCCGCCGCCGAGGTGACACCGGAACCGTGCCACAAAGCGGCTGGACGGCTCTCCTGGGTGGCGCCCAGGTCGACAAGTGCCGTCCGCCGCAGACAATGTGGCGCTCCGCTTTTTGCCGCCCCTCCGAGCCGAACGGTGTCACTCGCCAACTAATTATAGACCCTTCGCATCGCGCTCCAGAGAAATACGGCAAAGGAACAAATACTTTCAGGCCCATTTGGGGCATTTTTAATGACGGGTTTGATGCGCCGGTGCCAGGGCGGCGCGGGCCGGCCGCGGGAGGCGGACCACCGATCTGGAGCGTGTAAAAACCGGGTGTGCGATCGAGAGTGGCAGGCTGACAATCGAGCTGTCGCCGCGCCTCGCTGCCGTCCCGTTCCCGATGGACATTCATGGCATTCCCTGCCGCATGGGGCTGACAATCGATCCGCCGGGTCGCCGCCTCTGACATCACCGCTCAGCTGATAATGCGGTGACGTCATCCCCACTCAGCTGGGATGAGCGCCACCAGTGCCGGTCGTCAAGGCTCCTTTTGATTGGATGTAAATCACAGCCTGAACTTGGCGTCACCTCAGAAGTTCTGGTCGGGTCTGATCGGTTCCGCGGGCGGCGCCCGTCGCCCTGTGACGCTCCGGGGCGGCCCTGACGTGCCGAAGCCGGACGACCTCAGGTGTCTCGGCGGCTGTCGGCTGCGTCTGGCCGCCATGCGTCTGTCTCCGGCGGTCCTGTCACCGGGCCGCGGACGGCGCCGTCCTCGCACCTGGCCAACCGCAGCTAATCCGCCGGCCGACCCGTCCGTCCCGGCCCGAGCGGGCCCGCTCTGGCCGCGCCGAGAGCTCTCACCCGGTCCGGCTTCAGCCGCTCGGCCCGAATCATCTGATCCAATTACGACGCACTGGCTGCGTCGTGTTTGCCGCGACTGAGCGCGCACGCCAGAAACGCCGCGCCGCCCCGGCCGACTTACACGCCGAATTAAAAGTTGGCAATTTTACTGCGAGGGCGTCATTAATTAAAGCGGAGGAATCGCGGCGGTGTCAGAGGAGTCAGAGCGGCGCCGCACGCGCCCCCCGGGAGCGAGCCACACTGAAATATCGCCAGATTCCGCTAACGGCAGCGACACAGACGCGGCGATCGTATCAGACGAGCGGCCGACTGGGGACGAGGAGACGGCGGGAGACACCGGGAGACGCTGGAGAGCGGAGACATTCTCCGGAGTGGCCGTGGAGACCGCATGGAGTCGGAGGTCAGTGGAGACGCGGGCTGGGCCGGCCGACTGACGGGCAGAATTCCATGGGGCGGCGGCGGCGGCCGCGCCGCGGGGAGCCGCCGGTTGGGAGCCGCCCGGCCGGTACTGAGAGGGACGCTCGACTGACTGACAGCCGCCCGGCCAGAGCAGTGATGACTGAATGGCGCCTAATACAGTGACTGACGGTCGGCTGGCGACAGGGGACTGCGACCAGCTGTTGCTCATGGCACTCGTGCGAGCAGCACCAACCAACCGAAATTTCAGCACATGCTGATCTAACGGCGCCAAGAGCAAACAGGTGCGTCGACTGCTCCTCTGAAATTGAACCAACACCTCACAAACACACCCTGCCTCGTTCCATTGTTTCCAACTCTGTTAGCTCGTCTTCTCACGTGTCTCCCGTAAGGTCGTCTCTCCCCTGCCCTGTGTCTCCCTCTGAGCCATGGCGCCTGTCGGGAGCCACGCCAGGGGACCGGTCGGGCTCGGTGAGACCTTCAGACGTCTGTCGGAGCGCGGCGCGCTGAGGTGGCCGGCCGCAGGCGCCCGTCGAAGGCCCGTCTCGTCCGAGAGCGCGCCCGTGACAGCTCGCTGGCCTCCCGCCGGCCGCCCGACAGCGGAGAGAGTGCGGAGAGAGGACAGGTAGAGGGAGAGAGAGGTCGGAGGTCTGGTCCGGGTCATGGAGGAGAGTTGGTAGGGGCAGAGAAGGTGCAGGTGTGTAAAAAGGTCGAAAAACCGCGTCATTCCACTGTGGCCCATTAGCAGGTAATCAGTAGTGATCTTACTCAATTCGATAATCCCAACAACACAAATGAGTCAAACAAAAATAAGTTGTGAGTTCCATGAAGAGAGGAGAGAGAGAGAGAGAGAGAGAGAGAGAGAGAGAGAGAGAGAGAGAGAGAGAGAGAGAGAGAGAGAGAGAGAGAGAGAGAGAGAGAGAGAGAGAGAGATAGAGAGAGAGAGAGAGAGAGAGAGAGAGAGAGAGAGAGGGGACGGGAGGCACACCAGTCCGCGGCACAAGGTGAGCGGCGAGCGCCTCGATGCCGTGTCGTGCCGGCCGCCACTGACGAGTCTCTTATTCCTCAGCCAGCTGTTGGTACGGTGCCATTCGGACGGCCGGCGGTGGGCGCCGAAGGCCGCGCCGGCTGCTGAGCCGTGTCGCGCCGCTCAGAAGACGCCCCATCATCGCGCGGCGCCCCGGACCGGACCGCCCGGCGCCCCGGACCGGACCGGACCGGGATCACCGGGTGGTGGCGCGTGCCGCGACCCACTTCGTCACTCACCGCCGGCTCAGCACAGGTACTGTCAAAAACGTCAATGCCCCCGCGTGACGGCGCTGCGTAAATTATCCAGTTGTGTGTGTGTGCATGCGAGCTATGCTCTGATGTTTTAGCTCTGAGGTGCTGAGGTGGCTTATGCGTGGACTGACTGGTTAGGGTTAGGGAAGTGTCAAGGTTAGGCGCCCATAACATGTTACGTAGAGTGGTGCATTTCACTATGTCAGAGAGTGCATTTTTAGGTGGAGGTAAATAGCGAAGCAGTTGTAGTGCATATGGTACGGGGGTAGCAGTTCAGTTGCACTGACCGTCCCGGCCGCCCTCCCCTCCATCGCCTGCCGTGCGGCACCCCACCCGTCCCTCCGCCACCCGGCGGGCAATGAACAATGCTGCACCTCCGCCGCGACCGGCGAGCCGCCGCCCGTCAGTGTAGCTCAAATCTCCGCCGACAGCGTCTCCATCGGTCATCATTGGCGCCGCAATCAATAACGAGCCGGGACGCCACGTTGAGAGCCCCCGCCTCGTGACGTCAGCCCTGCCGGACGCCGTCTGACCGCTGCTGACCTGCAGCTGACCGACGAGGCTGCTGTGGGGACGGACGACCAGTCTTGCACCGCGCCGAGGTGAGTCGCCGCTGGGCTGAGAGTCCGGTCGGTGGATGGGTGGTCGGGTGTCGCGAGCTGCCGCAGCCGCAGCTGTCTGGAAAGCTGGCGCAGCTGTCCGGAAAGGTACCGTATGCAGCTGGTTGCAGGGCAGACGTGGCTGGCTGGGGAGCTGCCGCAGTCAGGGGGCCGACGGACCGGGCCGCCGTCTGCCGCCGGCACCGCCACAGTCCGGTCCGGCTCAAGGATATCACGCTGCCCCATGGTCGGCCCGGGCGGCTCGGTGGGGCGGACGGGCGCGCCGCCGCCCGCCGACCGGGCTCATAGACGCCGTGTGGGAGAGCACCGGCAAACCCGGCAGCAGTGGTGCACATCACCGGCGTCTCAACTGGGTGCTCTGCAACCTGCTTTGGCTGATAATTATGCAAATTGGAATTATTTCACCAATAATTATAGGATTTAGATGAAGCGGCACCGCCGGCTGGCCGGTGCGCCCGGTCGCCGCCACGCGAAACCGCAATTAGGTTTTATCCGTTTCTGGGTCTTATATGCGGATTACAAGCCATTTAGGGCCGTTTGAGACGAGCCAGGCGTCAAGGGCAGCGGGAGTAATTCACATGGGCCCGGCCAGCAAGCGGCCGAGGGCCGGACCGTGGCCGGCGGGCGGCGCTCCCACGCTTGGTCCGGCCGGGTGGACCGGCCACGCGCTGCGCCCCCGCGCCGCCAGCCAATTTATCAAAACGTCATAATAGGCCAATCGGGGCGTGATTTCGGGATTTTAATTTGGTGGCGCGGCACGCGTCTCCGTGAAGAGCTGATAATTGTGCCGTGCTGATGGATGGCGGCGTAGTGCTGTGTCACCGCGCCGCGTCTGTCTCGACCGCGCCAGCTGCGCCGCCGCCGCGCCGCGCCGCGCGCGCCGTTTGCACGTGCGGCCGGCGGCGGCGTCTCGGCCTCGCAGCCTCCCAGCCCTCGCATCTCGCCGCGCGCCGCGCTTGCACGTGGCTTCTTCGTCGCCTCAGGGCACAGGTGAGAACAGCAATGCAGGTTATACAAAGGTGTTGGCGGCGCATTATGTTGGCGACAGCTGGGCGCGCCCCTGCGTCAGTTTCGGCGGCACGACGCGAGCGGCTCGAAAGCGCGCCGACAGTCGAACCAAACGCGGTGCCACCGCACACAAAAGCCGCTTTGTGGTGGGTATTTTAGCGATTTTCCATTGATCGGCATTTATTTTAGCGGCGTTCAATTCACCAGCATTCAGTGAGCCCGAAGAGAACTGGTTTGGGCCGCCGCAACGTTCCAATGCCGGGCCACCTCAAACGCTGCCCGACCGGCCGGCGTGCGCCGTCATTACACAAAACAAAAACCGCGCCGCGCGCCTAGTCACCGGCCGAGGAGGCGTGAAAACCGCAGACAACGGGACGCGCTAATAGCAAATTGAACGCCAGTTGAGAGGCCATCCCGGTGACGTCACGCCACCTTGCTCAGGCTGCTCAGCAGACGAGTGACGTCACCTTAATTAATTATTAAAACAAACATATGCAAATCGGAAGGTCTTAGCAGTTGAAATGCTGGATGGCCATTCAATTAATGGTAATACGGACAACATTGATTTTGCTCTGTGGCACGCGCACGGCCGCGGAGCTGCAGTCGCTCCCTGCGCGAGGAGAGGCGGGGTCGGGGCGCGGCGGTGGCAGCAGGCAGGGCGGCCGCTCCCCCGCGCCGCGCCACTTGGTATGCGTGCAGGGTAGCATTGGCTGGCGGGCCGCGCGCCGGCCGCTCGACCCGCTGCAATCAAACAGTTAAATGGAATCTAAAAGAAGACCGAGATCCGGCGAAAAAGCGCGCCCGAGCGCTGTCTACCTGCCTGTGACAAAAAGACGCCGCTAGCCACCGCCCGCCTACGACACAAGAAGAAAGCAACAAAAACACTGAGGAGGTCGCGAGGATCGAACCCACCCTTCCGCCTGTTCTGTCAGCCTATTATTGACGGCTGAGTGACTTCTGTCGGTTCCATATGCTCTTTTGGTGCATCACGGGCACCAGGTCCTGATTCTTGACTTAAACGAATTTCAAACTTCTATCCCAAGGCACTCTCTTCCTGTTTATACAGCCAACTTTTCGGCTCAAAACCAACTTGATCTCTAACTCCGCCAACACACGTTGGTTTCATGATCAGTCTTCTATGCATCCGGCAGCTAACGACGTCAACGCCGGTTCCGGGTGGCCCGCGGCAGTGCCGCCTCCGTCACAGCCGGCGGCTGCTGCTCAGACTGCACTGTGGGCACGGAGTTCGCCGCAACTGTGCAAAGTCGCGCGGACCGTCCGCGGCGGCGGCGGCCAGCCTTCGAGCAGGGACCGGACGGCGACCATCCTTCACGTACGCGGCGCACCGCGCTCACGTCTTTTTGCGTCACCGATTAATTGCCGGCGGGCGGGAGCGGCGTTAACCGCGCAGGAGGCCGCGCGGAGGCATTCGCGACGCACGCCCCGCCGCGCCGCCGAGCACGACCGCGGACGCCCCCGCCGGCGGCCGATTTGGCGCACCGGGCGCCATAATTGAAAACCCGTGTCCTGGCGGCCACATCCCGCCTGTATCGGTCGCGTCGTGATTTACGAGTTCGCCGATCACATCCGTGTCTCCTTTGACTTCTTCCGACTTAAAGGTGTGACTGGTCGAATCCGTTTCTCAATAGCTGCGCAGTTGAGTTGTGGTCACCGCTGACCGCCTGACAAGATGATGAAATTGGTCATTGGAGACACGAGCACTCAAGACAGCTGTGAGAATGGCCGTGATGAAGGTACACAAGTTTATATTGAGTGATACCAGGCACGGTAGAAATTATATTGAGTTCAGACTTCAGAGGTCACACTGAAAACGAAACGACACAGCAGTGGAACGCTGCTCAGAGCGCCCCAAACGTCACGGGATAGCCGAGTTCCTCAGACGACACGTTACGGCTCTGGGCGCTCCGAGCGTCACGTCACGTCACGGCCCGGGGCGGCCCGGGCCGACCGGCCGTCGCGTCGCTGACGGATCGGGCGTCCAATAATTTATGGCGTCGCCGGGAGGCGGTGCGGCCAGACAGCTGCCACGCCGGTTTTTATCTGTCCACGCCGCCGAGAGCTCCTCCCGGACGCCGAAAAAATCCGATCCGGGAGATAGCGGCCGCGGCCGATCGGCGGCCGCCGCGGTGGTCGTCCAGCGGCGCCCGCCGCGGTCAGACTGGTGCTCTGTGGTGCTGGTGATGTCAGCGCTGGTGTCTTCTGGTGCTGTCACTGGTGCTGGCCAAGGCAGTGGTGTCGCAGCTACCGCGGACACCGCGCGACTGCGGCCGACACTGCTGCTACCTTGTTGGATTTGCCCTTTTCAATTAAGGAGCGCGGTTTTGGTGGTTAGATAAGTATCAAGCTCTGTCGGGATTTGTTTGACATAAAATCTTGATTTGTAGCGTGTTTGCGGGGTAAAAATTCGGTCATCTTCCTCACCTGCTGTGCACGGGTCGTTGCGGAGATGTCCACCTGTGCTCCATCGCAGTCTCCGATTTCTGGCGGAGACATTCACTAGTGCGCTCTGCGCGCCGATGTCTCAGCTACGTTTGGATGCGTAAGTACGAGTATGCATGCCACTTGCGTGCATAACTCAGAAGCACAAACACATCACTTAAGTTCAGCCGCACAATGAATCAGTTTTAAATTTAGAAGATTGTGGATTAGTGTCCAACTAATTTTCTATAAAATTCACATTAAAGTGCGATATCAACATGTTTTGACGCATCAATCATGACAATGCAAAGCGGAATCTAGTTTCGAAAAATCGTCACCAGTGAAAATTAACCCCAATTTCCTCTCTTTTCATCCCAGTTTTACCTGACCAAGTTGTGTTTCGACACCCCCTCTCGCCCCCCCCCCCCCCGCTGCATCAGAGTCGCCTGCCGCAACGTCCCGCGAGGTTCGGGCAGGCGTCCGTCCTGCCTTTGATCATCACTCAGTATGCGGATGGCGAGGGACGGCCAAGGAAGAACCGAGCTGCCGCCGAGGCTCACCGTAATGGCGAACTCGCTGCCCGGCGCGGCGCCACGACAAGCCGCCAATGCGACAGGCGGGGAATATTATGGCAGAAATTCCTATGGAAAATGTTTACGGTTTACTAGGCATGATAATTTCCCTCTCCTCACTTGAACTATCGATTGACGTAAAAGTCTATGCAATAAACAAAGCTCTCTCGTCTCATCTCGATCATGCTCATTCCTCAGTGGTATCAGTTTCCCCGCCCATTATCCAGTTCTGCCCATGTGTTGCAGATATGTCGTACTGACAGGATTAGCCGGCGGTGACCCTAGCGGGTCGTGGGCCACAACTCGGGTGCCCCGGTCCCCTGTCAGAGTCCCGGTCGACCAGAGGATACGGGGCGCGTCAGGCCGCCACCGGCCGCCATTTCCCTCGGGAGTCGTATCGACCTGGGTGGCCGCCACCTCAGCCCCCAGCCCCCAGCCGCCGCTGCCATGTTGCCCGGTGCCGGCTGCAGTCCCGACAGCCCTGCCATGCGTCAGGCGGCGACAGTTCACCGCTCTTTTCTGCTCTCCGCGTCACGCTCGCTTTTGTCAGCTCCACTGCCCACTGTGTCTGACTCTACGGCACTCTCTGTTTCCAACCGGGTGTATTATGGAATATGTAGGCATTCTCCGTGCCCTCTCTGCTCTTGTTTTGTCTCTCGAGTATGTTGGCATCGTCGCCTCTTTCAGCGCCTTCGCCTCTGTTCTCCCATTTTCTCCGCCTCCGCCTCCGTCTCCGTAATTCCCTATTGATTTTCCCGTTTTGGTTGGTTTCTCTGTTTTTAGCGGGGCGCGCCGCTGGGCTCGGTGCAGCATGCCAATTTGATGGATCCCGGCACGTGACACTACTGCTGATGGGCCTCCGCGCTCTGCCGTAGCCGCTCCGGCGCTCTGCCCGAGACGCTGCCGGAGGGGAGCGAGAGCAGCGCGGCCGGCACGTGACCGGACCGCGGCCGGACCAGGTGA